GTGACCTTGGACAAGTCACTGGAATTCTCCTGGCCTCGGTTGGCTCATCTGCAAAATGAGGGGCTGGGCCGCTGAACCTCCCACTCTCCCCAGCTCTTGGCTTCAGGAGCCGCAGCTATGAGGAGCTGCTCACTTCCACACTCCCTCTAAGGGCAAGCCAAGTGTCACTGTCATTTTATAAACATAAATGTTGCAACATGGTGGTAGAAGTCATTTCGATGACACGGTGGGGGTGATACAAGGCAGAGCTGGTACTGGGGTCTGACCTTTAAGACTGTGGTTTGGTATCTGGGCAAGAGCCAGAGTCCCTCCTGTTACATGCAGAAAGAGCACCTTAACTGAGGTGCAAAGGGTTACAACACCGACGGTGTCTCCTTTAACCTGCTCCCACCAGGGGGATAAGCACCGTGGTCGTGGTCGTTGATTTCCTGGTGAGGAATGTCAGTAACCAGCCATGGGAGCCACACTAGGGGTGAAGCCAGGATTTAAACTTGGTCCTGCCCACACAGTCCCTGCTCCTTCCATTCCCAGTGCTGCCAACCCATTTATAGGCCTTTGCTGGCACACCATGACCCCCTGACTCCCACGATATGCTCCAACAGTCCCCATGAGCCTCAGCTCCCCCCCACCACCCGCCCTAACTGCCCTGCAGCTTCCCAGCCGCCCTCTAAGACGTGCTGGAGTCCTGGCTTCTGCGTCAGCATCCATTAATCACACCACATCTCCCCCCACCCCGCCCCCGTCCCGAGAGTTCACTTCTCCTTTTCCTTCCTCAAAATACCCTTCTGTCATGGCAGGAATTTGCCATCGGGCTCAAGACAACGCTGAACCAGTGAGACGTTGAGCCCACTCTGCTCCACCAAACTCAGGGGCCCCAAGGGTCTGAGGTCCCAGGGCAAACAGCTGGAAGACACAGCTGCCCAGGTATTGCTGAGCCCATGGCCACACCAGGAGCACTACAGACAAATCTGCTTGCCCAGGGGCTGCCCTGGAACACGGCTGGCAACCTCTGCTACTGGGCCTCGACCCCACAGCCTGGGGTGGAGGGCACCTCAATACCCCATGCGCAGAGATTCCCCCATGCTCCCGCTGTCGGGGTCCTGCTCTGCTGGAAACCTCTACGTGAAGAGCAGGCTCTGGAGGACAGACCTCAGTTCAAGCCTCAGCCCTACCACTTCCTGGTGCAGCAAAGAGCTGAGTGGGAGGGGCGCCTGGGTGGCTCAGTCGCTTAAGCATCTGCCTGAGGCTCAGGTCATGATCCCAGGGTCCTGGGATGGAGCCCCGCATCGGGCTCCCTGCTCAGCGGGGAGTCTGCTTCTTCCTCTTCCTCTACCTGCCGCTCCCCCTGCTTGTGCTCTCTCCCTCTCTCTGACAAATAAATAAAATCTTTAAAAAAAAAAAAAGGCAAAAAGAGCTGAGTGGGAGTTTAGCTGTACCCCACACTGGTGCTGGGGACCAGAGCCAGAAACGACAGGTACTCAACACTCCATGTTCCAAAGACAGCCCCGGACATTTGGGGCCAGCCGTTCACACACCTCACACAGGGCCAGCTAAGAGTCAGCAGAACCAGTCCTACCACTAGCCTCCTCCCCACCTTCCAGCCTATCCGAGAAGGTGGAGAGCGGAGAAAAGGAGTCATCAGCCTGTCCTCGGCAGGAGACTGGCATTCACGGTGGCACATGCGACCCTCACCCCGGGTCACTGAGGAGAAAACCCCAGGGGAACTGCTCAGGTGGATTAGGAAGCAGGGGGCCTCACCACCCCACTCCACGGACAGGTGCTTGCTGAGCTGGGAAGGCTCAGACCCAAGGGGTGTAGACATGAGAACAAACTGGGTTGCAGGGAGAGTCCTAGCAGAGGCCACCCTGGGCCGTGGGGGGTCTGAGGGCACCAGGACCTCAGGGGGTGGTATCTTCCTCCACTTGGGGTTTCTGTGGGCGGCAGAGAAGGAAAGGGGGCGGGTGGGGACCTGGGAGGAGACCCGGGGGGGGGGAGGTACCAGCCCATGGCCTATGTGGCCAGACCTGAAGAAGGGATTGGACAGAAGGCGGATAGGCAGAGGGAGCCAGGATAAAATAGAGTCGGCCATGTAGACGCGGCCCCATGGCAGGGTCACCCACAGAGCCAGAGGCAGAGCAAGGCTGAAAGTGAACAGGCAGAGCGTCACTTGAGACAACCCTGCCCCTCCTCGGGCCAGCCCCAGAAGAGCCAGATTCCAAAGATGGTGGGGGAGAGGCTAAGAGCGAAGGACGCACTGCAAGCTTCCACTCCAAGCCCCAGAGGGACGGGACCATGGCCCTCCAGCGGCTGTGGGGAGAGGAGGTGCAGAGGCTGCGGGGCACTGTGGACGAGCTCCTCACCATCCCGCCCCTCGGAGGGCAGATAATACCCTTAGCCCAGGTTATCAGCGAGGCTCCGCGGAGACACAGGAGGAAGCCCCAGGCACGGGGCCAGGCACAGAGCACAGGACAATGACGGTGAAGACTTCCTCCAGCTCCAGGAGCACCTTCCATCCCTCCCAAAACTTCTGTCATGCTGCTCCTCGGCCACTGCCTTCTCCTTCTCCCCACCCGGCCCCCCGAAATGCCACAAGCCCGCCTCTTCTCTGAGAGCTCAGGGCCCACTCAATCCTCCCAGAGCTTCAATTACACTCTCCAAGTCCCCGGAGTTATCACTTAACTGTGTGGGGTATACAGTTCGCCTCTCCCCAGCCGGGGGTTCAGCTCCCAGAGAACAGGGGCTGCATCTATGGTAGAGTATGTTGTCCCATCTGAACACTGTACCACAAGGCACAGGCCATCACTCAGATGCCAGAGATGTGGGCGGCCTCCCAGTGCCTCCATGGCCGGACCACGTAAACTTGAGCGAGCCATTGAACCTCTCTGACCCTCCACAAAACGGGGAGACCATCTCAGCACTTCTGTCAGAGGGCTCTCGCGGAGAATAGGACAAACCAGTTAGAACCGAGCCCAGCACCCAGTGTCTGCTTCTTCATTATTTGCTGCTCGCCACCCCCTCCCAAATCTGATGGACTTGTTCTGAGATGTGCCCTGGGGAAGCCGTAATTTTTAAAAGTCCCGGGCCATTCCAGTGGTTGAGAACCTTGTCTAAGAGAAGGCACGTGGGAGGGAGAGGAAGGGAGAGATGTCAGAGCTGAGAGTCAAAGAGTGACCCCCTTTATGCCTCCCCAGAAATATCAGTATTTGTCAGGAAGCCAGGGCGTGGCTTTGCTCTACAGAGTCTTGGAGACCAGCACTTAGGTACCCCCTTCTCCTGCCAGCCACCCTGGAGATATGAAGAGAAACAAGACTTGGAAGATCCAAAGAAGCCAGGGCCAGGGCTTGAGGCCTCTTGGCTGGAGTGGCTCTGTCTGCCTGGTCACTCTTTCCCTCACTCAGCATTTACTTGCCAACCAGCAGATGGTGCAGAAAATGTGCAGCCCTGCCCCTAATCCAGCTAGTGCAGAATTTGCATGTGATTAGCACGGAGCCATGGCACTGGCCTGCATTTTCCTTTTTTCTTCTTCCTTTCCCCCCCCACTTTTTTTTTTTTTTCTTAAAAAGGGACACAAATAAAGACCTCCATACAAAATACGATCACGGCCACAGTTCTTGAAATAACATCAACCTACCTGACCTTTGTATCTTGCTGGAACTACCTCTTTGGATCCGATTAAAAAGCTAGAGTGTCTGCAATGGAGCTGATGACTGCCTGAGTAACTAGCTTTTGGGCTCAAAGGTAGTTTTTGGACAGATGATACCGATGACTCGTGGACTGGAAAATACGTGGATACACCAGACTTATCAGAAGGCTACAAGTGCAGAGCTGTTTTTGTAAGACAATAATAGCTACTAACTAGTACATACGCTATTTTGTAGCCAGACATATTTCCTGCAGATTTTCTCCAGGGCTCCCACCACACCAGGGCAATCCTTTTCTAGCCTTTCTTTTTTGAGGTGAAGACTGTTTTCTTACCGTTTTCTTTAGAGAAACAGGGACGCTGTGAAAAGGAGCAGAATGCCTGCCTGCACAAAGCGTCTGTCCGTGAGAGAGCTCTTAAACTACCCTCCGCAGGTGACACGGGTAGAGTCCTAGTGAAAACGGACATTTTAGTGCTCAGAAAGCTAATGAGAATCAGAGATGACCATGACGGTGTTGTGTAATTAAACCCTTTTGCAATACTTGACGCGGTATTTGCAAAGCACTTAACAATTACTGCCCTTTTCTTATTCACATGTTCTCCCATTAGCTTATTAACAATATACCTCATAAACTGGTTTCCCTGTGCCCGTAAAAGAGCCCCAGTAAACTTTATGGCTTTTTCTTGGGGCCTCTCCGACCAGCTCAGGCAGCAAGCTTGACCTCCTGCTGCAGCAGCTGGGGAGCTGGGTGTTACCCCAGACTGCCGTTTAGCAACCCTGAGAAATGAATTCGGGAGCCCTAGTTCATTCAGCAGGGCTCCGACGCAGGAGATTAAAAACCTCTCATCCCAAACCGGACAGTCCCGCCCTGCCATCACTCAAAAATATCGGTGACTGACCCCAATCTGGAGGCCACCGTGCAGAGGACCTTTCCAGGCTCAGATCAGGTGCTTGGGATGAGGGGACGGAGGAGGAAGGTCTAGAGTTCGAGCCTCCCTGGTGGGCACACCTCCCAGCAGGACCCGTTCTGCCGTGTGCGGGAAGCCCCGCCGCGCCGGCTAATGCGGAGCTACACGGGCAGACACCGACTGGTGGCTCCGACCCTCACTTTCTTTCTCTCTTTCTCGCCCCTTTTGGGAATGGGAGGGCGTTACCTGACAGAAGGGCCTGCAGGGAGGACAGGGCTCGGGCGACCCCAGAGCCAGTGCGCTCTGCCCACACTCTCGGCCCCGCGGCTCCGTGACCGCCCCAGGCAGCCGCGGCCTCTCCCCTGGCGCCGCGCGCAGGGCGGGGGCCGCTCCGCCAGGTGAGCGCCCTCCCAGGGGCCTCCCGCTCCCCGCGCGGCTGCCCGCGACTCACCTGCGTGAAATACAAGTTCATGAGCGTGAGAGTGAAGAACTGCAAGCACACGGGGAAGCAGTAGAGCAGCCAGAAGACGAAGGGGCTGAGCGCGTTGGCCGCCACGAAATCTTTGAAGTAGAAGGAGAAGAGGACCGTCCGCAGGGAGGCCCAGAAGAGGCAGAGGAAGAGGAAGACGCTCTGGTAGCTAAGCCGCTTGTGGCGGTAGCGCAGCACCAGCCAGAGCTGCACGTAGATGAACACGAAAAGCAGCGAGTAGAACACGGTGTAGACGATGGTGAGGCCGAGCTTCACGTAGGGGGGCACGGCCGGGGTCAGCGTGGGCGGCAGCGAGTCGTTGCGGAGGGGGTCCCACGGCGGAGCCTCCATCGGGCCGGGGACGCTGCAGCGGGGCCGGGGGCGCCTCATCTGGGCTCGCGGCCGCCGCCGCCGCCCCCGTGGGGGTCTCCGAGCATCGCGCTCCGCCCGGAGCCCGGCGACTGGAGGAAAGAAAACAAGCCGCACTTCCTCCCCCGGCACCACATGATTCACTGGGGCGGCCTTTGTCTGCGATTGGCAGCGCCGCGCCCGCCGCCCCCGCGCGCCCCTGCACTGCCCGGGGCGCCCGCGGGCACCCACCCCGCCGCGCCGCGGCCCCGCGGCCCCGCGCCGAACGCCCACCCCGCCCCGCCCCCGCACTGCGCGTCCCCGGCGCCGCCCCGCCCCCCGTCATCCACCGCCCCCCGTCCCGCCCCACGTCAGACACCAAGCCGCGCGCCACCCCCACACTGCCCTCGCCAGACCCCGCACTGCCCCCAAGTTAGACACCCAGCCGCGCGCCCCGCCCCCCTGCACAGCCCCCAGCCAGACACCACGCCGGGCGCCCTCTCCCCTGCACCGTCCCCACCAGACACCACCCCCACCGACCCCACGCGAGACACCGCGCCCCGCACCGCCCGCTCCAGACACCGCCCCGCCCCCTACACCGCCGCCCCCACCAGACACAGCGCCCGGCGCCCCAGCACCGTCCCGCCCCCCGCCAGGCACCGCGCGCCCCCGCACAGCACCTGAAGCCCCCGGAACCGCCCGCCCTCGTTCGGTGCTTCCCGCTGACCCCCGCTAACTGCTGACGATGACTTACTTGTTTTGCAGAAGTTCATTCTTTTATTTCAAAACAGCAACTTTGTAAGTCCTGTTTTTTCCCCATTAAAATTAAAACTGACTATGAAGTGGCCGGCGTTTTTCCTTGGAAATCTCAGGCTGGGGTGATGTTTATTTCTAAATCCCGAAATGCCCAAGACAGAGCTTGTGTTTCTGAAGTTGTGTGTACCCAGAGTGAGGAAGGGAATGGTTCCTGTGGCTACGGCCTCGCTTCGGTGTTGACCAGGGCCCACGAGGGCATTTTTTTCTCCCGGAGATCCACACAGTGCGCGCTGCGCCCCTCACCTCCCAGCAGCGCGCTACTACCGCGAGGAGCTGGGGAAGGGGGCTCAGAGCCATGGAGACCACAGGGCTCAAAGGTAAGCGTGACTGCTCTGAGCATACGGGCTCCCATTCCAATCCAGCCCAGCCAGCGGGGTGGTTGGTCAGCCAGACCCCAAGTCCGCTCTTTTGCTGCTCCCAAGAGGGTCGCTCCTCCCCGACGGAAAACTTGACTTGGGTTACGCCCCAGGGCGTCTCTCTAGCGTTACCCTGGGGTGCTGGGAGTTGTGGAGGGCTCTGGGCAGAGAGGAGATGCCAGGCTGACCTCTGGAAGCAAGTCTGAACAAGCAGTTCGGATAAACAGAGGAAAGAGGCCCGAATCTCCAAGCCTCCAGGAATTTCTTGGGACTCCTTTTCTCATCTTTATAGTCAGTTTCGTGCCTAATTGTGTGTTTTTTCTAAAACAGGCCCCGTGGAGCCTGGATCCAGCCCTGTTTTTCCTCCAAATTAGTGTTTACACTTTCCCAATATATTTCAGGTGCTTTATCAAGACCAAGTGTGCCTTTGGTGTCAAGCTTCTTTTCTCGTTCCTCTTTTTCTTCTCATCGCCAAGAGAAAATAACCCCCCACCTCTGATCTTGTTCCCCTCAAATCCCTTCTGCACAGAGCAGCTGGAGTGATCTTTTTTTCTTTCCTTTCTTACCCTTTCCATGTCATTCCCACGCTTAATTCCTTTCGCTTGCCCCTCATCGTTCTGAGGATAAAGTCCACATTCCTACCCTAGCTTACCTCCTGGACTTGCCTCTCTTAATAAGTGTTAGGGTCAAATACCTCTTAACTCCCCTACACCTAGAAAACTCTTTCCACCCCTTCCTCCAACAACTGGCCAAATCCTATTCCTCCAGAAAGTTTTCCCAGACTACACCACCCACCATCTACTCAGGATTAGGTTAGAGCACCTGTGTGCTCACAGAGCAGCCTTGCATAATTGGCCAGCCACCAGACTTGTGTGTAAGCTTCCTTAGGCTAGAAACTATGCCTTGTTTACCAGTGTCTTCCCTGTGCTTGCCTGGGCATTCAAAAAATATCTGTTTATGTTTTATTATACTGAAAGAATGTAATTTGTCATCGGAGGCTCAGGCTCTGATATTTCTCCTCATCTGTAAGACCTCTATTCACAAAACCACCTTACGATCCAAGATGGCTGCTGGCTCTCCAACCATTGCATCCACTTCCCAGGCTGGCAATAGGAAGGACAGGAGAGAACTAGTGGGCACTTGTCCTTTCCTGTTTATGGAGCCTTCCCAGAAACACCACAGAATGCATCCACTTTCACCTCATTGTTAGAACTTAGTTACCTTAATGAGACAACTGCAAGAGAGATTAGGAAATGTAGTTTTGGTGGTGGTTTTTTGGGGTTTTTCTGTTTGTTTGTTTTTCTTTGTAGTTATTCCATATGGCTAAAAGTCAAGGTTCTGTTACTATGGACAAAGAGGAGAATGGATCTGGGGAGGAACTAGCAGTCTTTACCAGCATCAAATGTGCTTTTTACCATCCTTACATTTTTGAAAATAAAAACCATATAAAATGCTTCCACTTAATATAATGCAACATACCTTGTACACTTGCAAAATACCTTCACTGCTCCCCACAAGAATCATTTTCTGTGTCCAGCTTGAAATCTAGGACCTGTGGGTGATAATCATTCCTCCTTTAATTCTGCCACGACCCCATCTCAATATTCTGATCTCCTAGATTAAGTTATTTTTACTAATTTATCCTATATAAACAGAAGAAAATTAAAAGTAAAAAGCAATTAGTTAAAATAGACATAATTATACATAAGAAAGAAAATATAAGTAAAAGTTAGAGTCCTTATTTTTGCAAGTGGTTACAAGACTCTAAGTGTTATAAAACTATACAAATTTAGGACTCCTCTCTTAAATGCATATTATAAAATCTCCCTTTTCTTTTATTAAGCATCTCAGCTAATCAGGGGATAACTCTCATGTCTGAGGGAATCTGTGTATGTTAATTTTTTAAACAAAATCCATTGTTTCCCATTGGACATACCAGTACAAGAGAGCCCATCACAGCTAGATTCTATTGGCTTCCTTTTGCCAATATAACAGCAACCTTACGTCCCCTTGAGTGTCACTATCATCAAAGTCAACACTAACTCCCCCTTTTTGCAATCTCAACCACTGGTATGAAGAGTCTGAAAGAGCCTGTGTCTCCATTTCAATCTCAAGGGAACTATGCTTGAGTCCCCTGCTAGAAGAATTCCTCCTTGGTTGCTGTGACCTTCAAACTAGCAAAACCCAAAAGAGAAGGGAACAAAAATGAACACTTTGCAAATGGGTCATTTGGCGTATTAGAGATGTCATCCTCTTGGATCCTGTACCTATGGCTCCTGGCTGCAGGAGAAACACCATATATTGGCCCTGAGGTCAGAAGATGTCTTATGAATACAGGACAGTCATATTGTCTATACAGGCGTGTCTTCCAGCAGGCACTAAGTCTACAATTGATCATTCCATTATTCTATAAGCCAGCTTCTACCAAGGGATGGATATTAGCCCACCTCATTTCTTCTTTTGGTATAACGTGAGGTCCTTAGTCAGAAGCAATATTGTATGGAATACCATGATGATGAACAAGGCACTCAGAAAGTCTGAACATGATAGCATAGGCATGGTGGGCAAAGAAAGTAAATCCAAGTTCAAAAGCACTGTCTATTCCAGTGAGGACAAATCACTGATCTCCTCCATGAGTAAAGTCTATATAACCTGCTTCCAGGTGGCTGTGTAGGACCTCCTCTGAATTCGGTACCTTTTGGAACACTCACAGTTGTTTAGTGATGCAGGAAAGAAGCCAGATCAGCCTTGGAAGGGGAAGTCTAAATTGTTAAAAACCTGGATAATTTCAGTCTCTGCCCACTTGGTCACTGTATCCATGACCCACTGAATAAGCTGTGGGCTAGCTGGGGAGAGAAGTTGACTTACACCCATGGGACAAGTTAACCTGTCCTCTTAAATATTGAGAGTCTCCAGTGTCACTGGGTCTTTTGATGACCTGACTTGGTGGCTTGATGGATCAAAATAACATCAGGCTCAAGATGGGCAGATCAGACTGCCTGGTAAATTGACTTTCTTGATAAGGCATTCAGGTTCTTCCATGGCCCAGTAGCAAGCTGAATGTTCTTCTCAAAAAGGAAAATAATTACTTGAGAAAGAAGGTATGGGGTTTTTCCAAAACACTGATAGTTGACACTGTGATTCTCCTAATAGGGTTTGTCACAAGTCCCACACGTGCTTCCAATTGCCATTGACACTTGGAGCACCATTGGATCCACTAAGTCGAAGACATAGAGTTGATTGCACTGCGGCCAGAACAAGATGGAGAGTCTTCTTTATCTCTGGGCCATTCCTCAAAATTAGCACCTTGAGTCACCCAGTAAGTGGGTCAGAGAAGCACACCTAATGTGACAAATGTTCCTTCCACAGGGGACTTTGAAGCATTGTCTCTCTTTCCCATAGGGGGTTGTGTGAGGTGCAACAGCTCTTCCTTTGCTTTGGAGAAGCTATCTTAACCTACCTAGATCACTAGACCCTCTAAAATTATCTCCTAAGGTCACAAGCCCCTGTAGGTTCCTGAAACTTATACCCCACATTATGATTTGCATGTTTCTTACTAACATATCTAGAATAACTACAATGCGTGTTCTTTAGGTCCTCAAGCATGATATCATCGATGTATTAGTCACTGTGATATCCTAAAGAATGGTGAGATTATCACAATTTCTGTAGACCAGATTGTGGCATGGAATCAGAGTTGCTGGAACTCTGAAGCGAGATGGGAAGCCATCCTTGCCAGATAAGACAATGCTGTTTTTGGAGTTCTTTGCTTAATGGGAAATGAGAAAAGAGCATTTCCTCCATGGGCTGTGTGGATTTGCTGTACAAAGTCACCACCTTATTAAGCTTATGATATCCATTGTCACTCTCCAAGACCTGCCCATCTGGACAGTTAAATGTGGATGTTGTAGAAAGTTACTACTTCTGTAGCATTCAATGTCAGGCCTAAGAATTGCATAGCGGTACAAGCTGTCTGTTAATGACTTGTCAGATCTGGAGCATTTTGGTTTGCTTCTATCACATGGATTATGTAGGGCCATAGAGAACTGCCCATCTATTTTGGTGCTAGGGCTCATGATTAA